TAGAGACAGAAAGCGAGAAATCACCCCCCAGGGGGGATGGTCACGCCGCAATCCCTTCTCCTCCATTCTCCTCTCGGGATCTTGGGCACGCATGCACACGCGCCCGGCGTGAGTTTTAAGCCACCAGATCCAGGACGCGAACCGCGGTCGACTACGTGGGAATCATAGCCATTACGCTAACTGCTGGTTCCCCCACTAAGCCATTTTTTACCACTTGTTTTTTTTTTTTTCTTTCTTTTTTAGGTTTTTGCCATAGGGTTTATGCACACATGTACTCACTGGAGAGACAGAAAGAGGAAAAGTGTGAAATCATCTGCCAGGAGGATGGACACACTGCAATCCCTTCTCCATTCTCCACTTGGGATTTTGAGCATGCACGCACATGTGCCTGGTGTGATTTTCAAGCTGCCAGGTCAGGGACTTGAACCATGGGGTCCTTAACCATCACATCAGCTGCTGGCCCCTTACCATATTATTTTAATGATTGTGTTAAATTCATCTATTTTCGGACATTATATTATTTCTAGATTTTTGTGTTTTAAATAATGTTATAAGGACCTTCGTTGCATTAAATACTTGTGTGCATCTTTGATTATTTCCTCAAGAATAACTTCAAGTGGAAATGTTTAGATTAAAAGGATAGGCACATATTGGTAGCTTCTAATGCATATTACCAAAATGTCCTTCAGAAAGATTTTACAGATTTATGCTAAGAGACTATGAGTATATTCATTTTGCTGTATTCCTATTAATATTCGACATTGGTATTTTTAAAAGTTAATTATTGAAAACTAGTGTATTAAATTTAAATTTATATTTCCTTGTTTCTTTGTGATTGTCTATTTTTTTCTAGGTTTATTATTAGTGACCACATTACCTGTATGTCCTTTGCCTCAAAGCTTTTTATTAAGTGGTATCCTTCTTTTACTCCTTATTTTTAAAAAGAATTATTTATATAATTTTACTTATTTTATTATTTTTAAATAATTATTTTATTTAACTTTATTAATTTATTTACTTATTTTAATTTGACCAGAGAGGGACAGAGAGAGGAGGGAGGAAGTAAAATCAAGCCACCAGGTCCAGGATTCAAACCGCAGTCAGCCATGGGGAGGCCAGCATCCTTAACCATCATGTCTCCTGCTGGACACTTATTATTATTATTTTTTAATTTGACCAGAAAGAGACAGAGATAAAGAGAGAGGGAAAGTGAGAAAGCAAGCTGCCAGGTCCGGGACTTGAACCATATCAGCTATGTGGGAGGCTGGTGCCTTAAACACCATGCCACCTGCAGGCCCTACTCCTTATTTTTACATTGCTGAAAAGAAGGACAGATTATATGAAAAGACTTCAAAGAGTATGCCAAAAAATGAAATGAAAGCATAAGTTTACTGTGGTGCCGAAGTTTTGAAATCTATGCATTCTTTTTTCATGATAGACATTTTCCAATAACTTTTTGAAGATCCTCTGTATACCAGATTCATGGAATTTTGAAGATGGGTCTATACCTTGTTTCACCCTCTCACTTTATAGATGATTTTACTCAGGCCCATAAAATGCAAGTGACTTTCTCTCAAGGTTACACCTATGGCATTCGGGGCTAAAGATTGCTAGGTTTCTCTATATAGAGCTAAGTGTGTACATGTAACCAATGCATATATACTTCTTTGATTAAAGATATTTCCCAGGGGACTGGGTGGTGGTGCAGTGGTAAAATGCACTGCTCTGCAGGATTGATCCACATGAGAAGGTTTTGGGTTCATGTCCAGAGACCTCCTTATGTATGCCACGCATGCACGTGCTTATGAATTAGGACTGACTGAAGTTGCTGGTGGATTGGAGCATCAAGACCCTATTGGGGATGCTGTTTGCCTCCCCATCTCACTCATGGAATAAATTAAAACTTAAAATGTTATTGGTGGGGACCAGCAGTTGGCGTAAAGGCTATGTCGCTGGACTCCCAAGTAGTTGACCGCAGTTCGCTTCCCGGACCCAGTGGCTTCAAACTTACGCCGGGTGCATGTGCGTGCGTGCCCAAGATCCCGAGGGGAGAATGGAGAAGAAGGGATTGCGGTGTGGCCATCTCCCCAGGGGGTGATTTCTCGCTTTCTGTCTCTATGTCTCTGTCTGTCTGGTGAACGCACATGCCCTAGAGTGAAAAAACCTCTCCAAAAAAAAAATGTTATTGGTGATTAATATTTGGTGTTAATTTTGGGACCAACAGTTGGTGTAATGGCTATGTCACTGGACTCCCATGTAGTCAACCGCAGTTCGAGTCCTGGACCTGGTGGCTTAAACTCACGCCGGGCACGTATGCATTCTGTGAGGAGAATGGAGGAGAAGGGATTGTGGCGTGGCCATCCCTCCCGGGGGGTGATTTCTCGCTTTCTGTCTCTGTCT